TTTGGGCATGCATGAACATGTGCCTGGCATGAGTTTCAAGCCTATGGGTCTGGGACTTAGACCATGGTTGGCCATGTAGGAATCTGGCAGTGTAACCATTATGCCATCTGCTGGTCCTTATGGCATATAGTTTTGTTTTAATCCAACCTGACATTCTGTGTCTCTTAATTGGTGCTTTTATACCATTTACATTTAGTGTAAATATTGCTGCAGTCATCTATAACATATTGCTAGGATTTTTTCCCCCCTTGTTCCATCTTCTTTTTTTCTCTCTCTCTTTTTAATTGAGCATTTTTATTACACTTTATTTGTATAGCCAGTTTATTATTTTACTTCTTGTCCTGAATTGCAACCCTAATTTTGACTTCCAAATAAAATCCTTTATATTTTAGATTTGCCCTTACCTATTATTTAACTTTTGACAATAGGGAGAATGGTATATTTTCTGTTACTCTGTTTTAGCCTAAGTCTTAGGCAGCCTCTTTAATCTTGGGTTTCTGGGGTGGGGCTCTCTCAGTGATGTCATGCCCCAGTGGCAGGGGTCTTTTAGTGGTCTGGGCCTAGGGTGTTTTCCTGATTCTATTACAAAGGTAGTGTTTTTCTCTGTTTATTTCTCCCAGCAACAGTGAGTATTTACCCTTACTCTAGAGACAGGAGTTTTGCTGACCTTTCTTCTATACTGGCTTAATGCTTTCATTTCTTTGGAATAAGACCTGATTGGGGGGCCAGCTCTGAGCACAGCAGCTGTGTACTGCCAGGAGAGGCCCTGTCCCACATGACAGCTGTGGTTCTCATCCCTAGCCTGGTCAGCCTGTAACACATGCACATGCGTGCTTAGACTCTGCGTGCTGGAGGGCTGGAGGAAGGGTATCATGTAGACCAGACCCTGTAGAGGTGCTTATCTCTCGCTCTCATTCTCACCCTTGGGTGCGAGCATATGTGATCTGTCATAAATAAGGGGGGAAATTTTTTTAAAAAACGCTATCTGGTTGGAGCTTTATCTCTTTTCTCTGTTAGGGGCTATTCTTAACCAGGTCTGAATCTGGAGGGAGACTTTTCTAACTTCCTGCTCCTCCCCAGTGAGAACAGAGAGACTGCGCATTCTCGTGAGTCCTGGGAAGTCTGCAGAAAGCAGCCTGCAGGTGGATGGACTGCCCCTCTTGTCTAAGCTTTCCAGGGCTTTGATGCGTTGATGTGTTCATGGTAGCTCATCCGTGGTTTCTTGCAGTTCATCAAAATATTGAGCCGAGACCATCTTCCCCCGAGGTTGGGCGATCGCGGCCATTCCGTGCCCTGCCCTCTGCTAGTTGGTGCTCACGGCCTCTCCTTGACAGCACCAGCTTCTCTGATGGTTTCAGGCTTATTGGTTGTCTCCTGACTTTTCTCTGATGAATTCAAGAGATAAATGGTTTTATAGATGAGATTATATATAGATTACAGATTAGTTGGCCTTTTCATTTTTTGGTCATTAGGGGGCAAATGACATTGTTACTGATCCTGTGGGTCCATTGCCCTTTGTGTACAAAAACCAATCACCATGCCAGGGAGCTTGAAGCAAGCCAGAGCTTTATCGTGTAGCTCTCTGCTAAGGAGACTAGAGCCGACTTCGAATCTGCCTCCAATGCATGCAGAGGGTTGGATCTTTCATAGTACAAAAAGCAAAGGAGGGGGTAGGAGTGACGTTTTTCGGTCTCTAGTTGGTTAGAGGCTTAGGGAAGGGCCTTCTTGGGCCAGTTGGCGCCAGTGAGCTGGGGTTGCTTGGCAGTCCCGGATAGGCTCAGGCCAAGATGTGGTCACCTTCTGTTTCTGATTTTTTTTAAATTGATTTATTTTACGTGCATTCACCGTATATCATTGCAGCATACAAAGTGAGTTTTCCCATCCAGAATACCCTGTAGATTGGCTCAATCCAATTCTCTGGAGAACATGTTATCACTGTTGGTTGCCAACAGCGTTTTCATTCCCTCTGTAGCTGGGGTCATCCTGAGGTCACCTATCCCTTTTGAGTGTATGCGTCCTGCAAACAAATTTATACAATGGTGATTAGTACTAGGTATATCATTGCAGCATACAAAGTGAGTTTTCCCATCCAGAATACCCTGTAGATTGGCTCAATCCAATTCTCTGGAGACAGGTCCTGTTCTGTTGGTTGCCAACAGCGTTTTCATTCCCTCTGTAGCTGGGGTCATCCTGAGGTCACCTATCCCTTTTGAGTGTATGCGTCCTGCAAACAAATTTATACAATGGTGATTAGTACTAGGTTTTTCTTATTACTGCTGGTTCTGGCTGGTTACAATGCTTTTTCCAGCTCTTTCTCTCCTAAACAGAATCCAAGGTTGCCCCAGAACAGATGTAAGCCCCTGCATTGTACCCGCTCCTAATGCAGTTTTCTTAATACCCTTGGCCAGGGCATGCTGCGTGTCTCCTTGTTTTGAATGGTACCTGTGCTCACGGATTAGATGCGATGCAGATGGTTCCCTTGCCCGCCTGTTGCACCATGACTCAGTACATTTAGAAAGGAGAGGCCTACTCGCTATTCATGTTCACACAGAGTCTTTGCATTGTTTCTACTGTTTTTGCAAATTAGGGAGGCAAAAGATACCTCTCAGTGCTTGGGAAATACAAGTTTTAAATGGAGACAATTGCATTTTTTTCTTATGAGAAGAAAAAAGAGGGAGGGAGAGACAGACACCCACAGAGAAGGTGAAATGATTTTTGATAGGTTCTCTCCTCAGTCCGGGGACCCTTTCGTCCCAGCCTCCCAGGTAGCTAGGCTTATAGGCATATGCTACCACGCCCAGCCTGTTTAGGTTGGTCGGTGAGTGAACTCAGCCTTGCATGCCAGCGACATGGCCAGGCCCTGGGCTATCGTGTTCTTAAATGATCTTCTGAAGGTCTGTAGATTTAAAACGACTTTAATAGGATCATTTCAAACATACAGGAAGTGGAGAAAGGAGTATGCTAATTTCTCATTATGCCTACTACACAGCTGAAACAATGATCAAACCGTCCTAATGTTTCATATAGCGTTTATTACCCCTCACCATGGATTTTTTTTTTTTTTTTGCTATAGGGCGCATGCGCTTGCCAGACAGACAGACAGAGACATAGAGACAGAAAGCGAGAAATCACCGCCCCCCCCCTCGGGGGGGGGGGGATGGTCATGCCGCAATCCCTTCTCCTCCATTCTCCTCTCGGGATCTTGGGCACGCATGCACACGCGCCCAGCATGAGTTTTAAGCCACTGGGTCCGGGACGCGAACTGCAGTCGACTACGTGGGAGTCCAGCGACATAGCCATTACGCTAACTGCTGGTTCCCACCATGGATTATTTTGAAGCACATTCCAGAAATAGTATCTTTTCCTGTGTGAATGTATGCGAAGGATTATAGATTCCCATTCCATGCCTTATGTTCTTTAATTTTCACATGTTGACTGGCCGTTGAGAGATAGTATTTGCAAATTCTGTGCTGCTTACGTTCAGAGACATTTAATGTATGACGTGGCGTGTTCCAGATGACTTAATGGAAGTGTTTGGGAGCTGTATCCACTGATAGATGTTCTGGAAGCAAAGCCATTTCCCCCTCATGGTTGTAAACCTTATTCTGTCCTTGAAAAGTAGTTTGTGGTATCGCATTTAGTATATCGGCTTTTGAACAGACATCCCCTAAGAGTTGAACTCACACTATCATATTAATCTTCATATTCCACTGGACCGATGTTTATACACTGTATTCAGAGGAGGAAGTGAGATGGCTTGGCTTCATTCTTATTACATTTTGAATTGTGTGTGTACATAAGTTCTGTGTTATAACTCTGTGTTTTTTTCCTTAAAATCTTTTCTTTTTTTTAAAAAAATATTTATTTAATTTTATTTATTCATTCATTCATTTTAATTTGACCAGAGAGAGACACACAGAGGGGGAGGGAGCAGAGAGACAAAGGAGGCTGCCAGGTCCGGACTCAAAGTGTGATTGGCCATGTGGGAGTGTCCAGCACCTTAACCACCACGCCACCTGCTGGTCCCCTTTAAAGTCTTTTATTTTGAAATGACAATAGATTAATCGAAAAGGTGCAAGAATAGGACAGGGAATTCACATATGCCCACCTGCAGTTGCTAATGTTGCAGCTCAGGACACTACCCCACACTATGACTCTAGGAGACCAGAGCGTGGCACCTGAAAATACATTTCTTTGCCATATCATGAGCTGGTTATTCCGAGAAACTGCAGACACAGGAGTTGCTCTGAGAAGCTGTCCTATTTTTCAAGAAATTTACAGGAAATCTACATTAGTAAAGTATGAGGAAGAATGCTGCTTTGGGATAACTTTTATTACCTGAGAGACATTTTTTTATTTTTGAGGAATATTTTTGCTATAGGGCATGTATTCACAAAAGAGATAGAAACAGAGAGACAGAAGATGAGATAACACCCCCTGGGGGGATGGCCACATTGCAGTCCCCTCTCCTGCATTCTCCTCTCAGGGTTTTGGGCACGCACACAGGTGCTCCTGAAGTGAGTTTTAAGCCACCAGGTCAGGACTCGAACCATGGTCAACTACGTGGGAGTCCAGTGCCTTAACTACTTTGCCACCTACTGGTCCCTTGAGAAACTTTTTATCTGCATGGCAGGACAGCCTTTATCCACTATTGGCCCTTTGCCCTCCCGTGGCCTATTATAGCCCCTCCCACACTCCCATCCAACCCTGAGTTCTGTTCCTTTTTGTAACTCAGGTTACTTGATAAACTTCCCTCATCTGATCGTTTGAGTCTCTTATTTTGTGGGACTCCCATGTATCTGTCCATAATTAAATATGGTTTTTCTTCCTGCTAATCTGTTCTATGTCAATTTCATTCATAGTGCAGCCAAAGATACTAGAAGAGAGGAGGGAAGCCATTTTTCACTGCTTGTTATTAACAACTTCCATAACCGTAGTCAGAGGTCAAAACCATGTCATTAACAGAGATCATATGTTCTTTTTTTTTTTTTTTTAAACAGCTGCTGAAATAGTTGAAGAAATTGAAAATATGGAGAAGACTAGGATGCGTCTCGAAGCCAGTAAACTCAATGAAAGCGTATGTTGTTGGTCTATCTCAGTATCGGGGTGGAATGAAGGAAGGGAATTTGGAATACTCTACTAAAAGTAAAGCACGCCACCTTTCAGCCTGTCCGGTGGGCATGCGCTAGAGCACGTTTCCGTGGAGCATGCGTAATCAGGATGTTCTTTCAGCGCTTCCTTAGCATGATATTCCGTTGTTTTTAGCAGTCTTCGGGCGCAGAGAAACAGCCTGGTCTTGGCGTCGGGTAGCTTTGCCACTGGTTCTTTCTCTGCTGGTGGCATTTCATAGGCTGCTTCACCTCTGGCCCTCAGGGTCTTCATCAATAGGAATAAGAGGCCTCTAAGATTCCTTTTAGCTTTGGCATTCTATAATTCTAAGATTATGGAGATAGTAAGTAATTGTAAGAGTCTGTGAACTTTGAGAATTGTATCAACCTTTTTTTGTTTGTTTTTAAGAGAGAGATTTTTGCTATAGGGCACGTGCGCTTACCAGAGAGACAGAGAGAGACAGAAAGACAGAAAACAAGAAATCACCGCCCCCCTCCCAGAGGGTTTGGCCACACCGCAATCCCTTCTCTTCCATTTTCCTCTCGGGATCTTGGGCACACACACACATGTGCCTGATGTGTTTTAAGCCACTGGGTCCAGGACTCCAATCATGGTTGACTACATGGGAGTCCAGTGACATAACAATTACTCCAACTGTTGGTGCTTGTATCAGCTTTTGGAAGGAATCAGAGACCTCACATTCTTCACCGTGCCTTCATCTACCCTGATGGCCCAGACTTTGAGGAAGGGACACCAAAGACGAGAATAGTCATTGAGTCCCGTGATACTGGAGGAAGGGCCTTCTGCTCTCCCAAGATTTTTTTTTTCTAGACCGCTGGTAATGTGTGTTTATAAGGAAAGCAACCACCTGAGGGAGGTTTATAACCAGATAATTGGAAAAAAAAAAAAAAAGGAATTAACATTGACTGACTTTGTTATTACCTGTGTGCTAACTATAAGACAGGGACTGTAATGAATCCTGTAAGTAGATTTCTGATCCTTTAAGCCTGAGATTTTAAAAAGCAGGACTAGAGTTTAACACGCCGTGTCTCTTACTGCATTTTCTCTCTGTATTACTTTCCTGGTATGACCTTGAGAGGTCGGAAAGGAGAGAAAGATGAGTAACTGTTGCATTAGTGAGTGAGGAAGATTAAATACTGAAATAGGAGATTGATGAATCATTTAGTTACTATTCCATATAATATCATGGAGTCATTGTATCTTCTGTTGGTAAGGAGAAAGTAACGACTCGTATACTATGTATGCTGTCCACTGAAAGTACGGAGGCGTTACACTTCCTTGGTCTAGGTAAAACAGATGAGAGATTGTTCTCCTCTATTTTAAACGTGCATGTTTGAAATTTTAAAGTATATAATACCAGCTTCTGTTGTTGTCATTTTGGGAGTTTTTTTTTTTTTTATGAAGATTTTTTCTTGATTATTTTAGGTAATGGTTTTTACAAAGGACCAAACAGAAGAGGAAATAGATGAAATTCACAGTAAATATCGTAAGTTGTGTGACATTTTTATTTCCTTTATTCGCAGTGGACTTGACTTGCTGTTTTCCATCTTAAGTACGTTTTAAGTATAATGTTTCATATGAACGCTCGATTCAAATTTTGTTAAGATTACCCAAGAGACGGAATTTTAGTCGAATCTTCACTCAGCATTTTCTGGTTTTTGATTTGTGAGTGCCTTTTTTTTTTTTTTTTTTTTTTTGAGAGATTTTCACTGTAGGGCGCGTGCGCTCGCCAGACAGACAGAGAGAGACAGAGAGACAGAAAGCAAGAAATCACCCCCCAGGGGGGATGGTCACGCCGCAATCCCTTCTCCTCCATTCTCCTCTCAGGATCTTGGGCACGCACGCACACGCGCCTGGCGTGAGTTTTAAGCCACCGGGTCCGGGACACGAACCGCGGTCAACTACGTGGGAGTCCAGCCACATAGCCATTACGCTAACTGCTGGTTCCCGCGATTGCCTTTTGATGTGTGAGTAACATTCTCCCAGTATTACTAAGCACCTTGCAAATGCGAGTGAGTTGCTCTCAAAGCATCTTTGTGAGAAGATGGGATTAAAATAAAAACAGTCCTGACTCTCTCT